CTGAGGATATATCAGTTAATACAACTGAAAACAATTGCTCTTTGGTTAGTATTGTACTATCGTGTTTTTGCTAATACTTCTATACAATGAAAATTATTATTTAAACTTTAGCTAGCAACTGTGACTAATACTTTATGCACAAATTGTCAAAAATTCTGAATGAAGCATAAAGTCTACTAACTTGCATGTCAATAGTATTATTTATTATTTTCTTAGGAATTCCAATAATCAATTGTTCAAGAAATTAATTTTTCAGACGTTGATGCTTCTATAGATGCTGAAAAAGTTGCTAATTATCTAGAACAATTACAAAATAGCACTGAAGAAGATAACGCAACTCACAGTTCGTTACAAAGCAACACTTCTATTTTGGAAGCAGAGACTGTTGTTCGTAATAATCGATTTGCATATTTAGTCAATCCAGTTAATAAAAAAAAGGTTGACTGCATTGTGAATAGTGTTACCAATCTTACTAAGCAAAAAAAAAAAAAAGAAATCTTAAAACCATCAAACTTAAATTCTACTACAGTTTCAGATTTTCCGTTTGCAAACTCTTCCTACCCTGGTAAGTCCTATAAATCATTTTACAGTTTTTTTTCATTTCATTTGATCAAGTGATCAATAGTTGCATAGCAACAATGCAACTTTTAATAAAGTTTTAGTTTGAAAATAATTCAAATTTTTAAAATTATTTAAATATTTGATTTACCGAAAACGTTTGATTCCATTAATCATAAAATTTTTGCTAAAAAATTAAAATATTATGGTATAAAAGGCAATGTTTTAAATGGTTTTTTTCACTAATCGTAAATAATTTGTTTACGCCGATGAAACATTTTCATCAAATTTGTTAAATATTACTTGTGGAGTTCCTCAAGGATCCATATTAGGACCTCTTATTTTCCTTATTTATATTAATGATCTATACAAAGCCTCGGATTTATATTTTAAAGACCACGTCTTATATATTTTAAAGACCGTTATACTCATGCCAAGCCTTTATTATTTGAAATAAAAGTTTTTAATATATATATGAGCTTAATATTTTTGACATTCTTTGTTTTATGTTTAAATGTAAAACCAATTCATCCCCGATTTCTTTTTATAATTTGTATTTATCAAAAGATAAAAATAAATACATTTTACGCAATGATAATTTTATTAAACAGCCCATTTTTCAAACAAATCTTTTTAAATTTTGTATTGTTTATCGAGGACCATTCTTATGGAATAAAATAGTTTTAAAAAATTTTACTGAAGAAATTTTATTCATCAAAATAACTATTTTTTCTTTTAAACGAAAGGTTAAAGAACTCATTTTTACAATCAAAGATTTAACAATATAATTTTGAAATTTTTTTAGTGATCTTCTTTTTTACCCTTTATTTGAACATAAATTTATAAATATTATATATGTATCATTAACAACTGTAATATGTAATATTGTATCTTGTATTTGTGACAAAATATTTTAAGTTTCTTACTTCGTTACCTATTTTTTATCTTGTAAATATCTTATAAATTTTAAAACAAACATTTTTTACGTCTTGGACGTCTTTTAAACGTCTTTTGAACGTTTTGGACGTCTTGTTTTGGTCCGGTGCCCACAAGATATATATATATATATATATATATATATATATATATATATATATATATATATATATATATATATATATATATATATATATATATATATATATATTATTATATTATTATATATATTTATTATTATATATATATATATATATTATTATATATATATATATATATTATTATTATTATTATTATTATTATATATATATATATATATTATTATTATTATTATATATATATATATATATATATATATATATATATATATATTATTATTATATATATATATATATATATATATATATATATATATATATATATATATATATATATATATATATATATATATATATATTATTATATATTTGTATTTTAAATATTGTAACAAAATGCATATTTGTAATGTAATAATGTTCTTGTAAGTATGACATTTCAAGATTAAACATCGTTAGCCTATGTTCTTTCCTTTGATGCTAAAATATAACCAAAATCAGGGTAATTTGAATACTCAATTTTAGCCAAAAATGTTTTTCTAGTTGTCTGGGTAACATTGCAATAATACATAATAAATAATAGACATCGTTTATTGTAGTAGCCTAAATAAAAAAAATATTTTTAAACGTACTTTGATAGTTTAATTTTTAATATTTATGGCTATTTTGATAATTTTAGCCAACATGCTGTTAATAAACTAATTTTTATCAATAATAACTACTATCTTTAATATATTATATCCTTAATATTTTTACCATTCAAAAATGTCATGAATTACTTGAGTACTCATCCTGACATAAGAAAATATTCAATCCAACTACTTAAACTCTACTCTTCAAGAAGCATTAGCAAAAACTAAATTAGAAAAATGTCGATTGTTGAGGCTTAAAAATGTTTTAAAGTATCCAAAACAATATTATTTCATAAATTAAAAAATAAACACTGTAAACCAGTAAGGCACCATATTGCCCTTAGTATTGAAGATGAATATTGTTTTAAAAATCACTTTGTTTAAGTATCAAAGGAATACCAATTGTATATGGTGTTAATGACTTGAAAAGTTTTAAAAATTCATCTGGATGATAGCAGAAAAAACAATACGTTTGTTGAAAGATTGCCGACCATTTTGAAAATAGTATAGATCGTGATTATGCTCTAAACAAGTTTATTGTGATGTGATTCAAATGAACAAGTTCTAGTTGATTTTGATTTTTCAAGTTGAAAGAGATAATAATAATGTTAAAAAAATCTGTGAACAGAGTACTTATGACATCTACTAAAACCAACAGCTTCATAAAGATTCATTTTATCTCATCGGGAATGAGAAAACTCTGTTGCCTATCCAAGTAAAAAATTGAAACTGCTGATAAATTGTTCGCAAACATTCCAAATGAGGTCTTCTTAATTGATAAGAGTGTTTATACAATGAATGATGACATGTTGGTTTTAGAAAGCAGAAATTAATTTTATTCCAGATATTATAACTATGATTTTTTGTAAACACTGTAAAAAACGGTTACTAAAGGTCCCAAGGATATCAATAGAAACTTTGTTATTGATTCATACAAAACCATAAAAATATTTTTTCAATAGAAAGGAAAATTTTTCCTATTCTAATAAAATTAACTAATATCAAAAGGAGGTAAATTTGTTAATTTAGAAATTATTATTATTATTGTTTTTTATTTGTTATTTAGGTGCCCCAAGAAAACCGAACGGTCTTGTCACAGAGCACCGCGGAAGTGTATTTAACCAGGGAGTTCACGCCTCCTTCCTTACCGTGATGCAAAAATATGTCCAGAGCTCGTTTTGAACCTGGATCTTCTGCTTATAAAGCATATGTGTAACCACTTCGCCACGGCCGCACTTTTTAACCTCGGTTCAAATGTTTAATTGTCCAACCTCTGTTCAAGCCAAATGTTTAATCATCCAATTTCTGTTCAAATCAATATTTCCAATAGTATAGGAGTACTATTCAAAGCAAGAAGTATGCTAATTAAGCATTGATACATGGCTAACTTGTTATAAAATTAAACCATAAAACTGACTTATGGTTTTGTACTCCAAACAAATAATCGTGTGTAATTGTTTGTAAGCCGTGTATTTTAGAAGAAGGGCGTCACTTCGGAATTGTCATGATTTAAATATAAACTTTAATGAATAAAATACTTAGCATACGTGGTTTAGATTTATTTTCATTTTATAATAGAATATTCTCAAGTTTAGGCTTTACTGAACTTATTGAAAACATGAATTTAATGAAACATGAACTAAGTTTTACTTAGTTCATGTTTTCATTAAACTACCGAGCACAGTGAAAGTGTATTTAACTAGAGAGTTCATGCTTTAAAATTAAAATTATTTAACACTGTTAATCAAGAACTTGAGAACCTGAGCGAATAGCTTAAAGCCAAAAAACTCTTTCTAAATGTCGAAAAAATTAAATATACTTTTTTTACAAAATTATTAAAATCAGAAACCCTCCTCTTAAAACTACCCAATCTACTAATTGATAAACCTAAACTTAAAAGAGAATATTTAAACAGGTTTTTGGGCATAGTTCTTAATGAACATGTTACATAGTAATTATATCTAAAAAATAAAATATATAAATTTATTATGTTAATAAATAACTTTAATTAACTAAAAACATTATAAAGCAAGCTAATTTTTTGATATCTTATGTTTTTTAATTTTTGATATCTTATGTTTCCATATGGTCGTGCGACTGTCGCAAGACAGTCGCGCGACCATATGGAAACATAAGTCGTGCGACAAGTTTTGTCTTGCAAGACATATAGACAAGTTTTATCTTGCAAGACAACTTTTGTCGTGCGACAAGTTTTGTCTTCCAAGACAAGTTTTGTCTTGCAAAAGATATGTATAGTTGTGCCATAGGTGTTGCAGATCTCTACGACAATTGTCGCACGACCCTGCAATGCGATTGGTTGAATATTAGAAAACGAAATATTAATTAAAACAAAGAAATTTACATCGAACTAAAATAGAAAATAATCAGGAAAGATTTACAAAAGAATTTAGTAAAGAGAGTTTCACGCAGGAAGTAAAGAAATATCCTGTGCTGTATGACAAATTCGATACAGAATTTAAGAACAACATTATTAATAAAAATGCTTGCGCAGCAATAGGAGTTTCGTTTGGTCCACTTTCAGGATCAGGACGAATCAATATCAGCAAAGAGTACGATTTTTTGCAATGGTTAAATGTGTACATTGATCATAGAGAAATAACAATGACGAATCTTGGAGATAAAACAGCAATAGAGATACAAAACAACAATAACAGAGATATAATAAAAAATGTTGAAGAATTACCTTTGTCATGTATAAGTGATGAAAATATGAACTATGATGAAGAATTTAGCATCACATATGGCTAGCAAAACCATACTATGAGTTTTTGTAGTTGTAGTCAGCAGATCTACTTGAAACAGGAGCTTCAATACATACATGTTTGCCATCTGTTGCCCCAATGGAATTAGGAAAATTCCATTCATTTTCAAATTCATTTGCTATTTTTTCCCACTCATCTGAACTTTCTGGTGCCTTTAAATAACTTGGTTGCAAATCATCCCAAATAGCCTTTGTTGTTTCATTGATTATGTTGCATACTGTTGTTCTGCCCAGTCTAAAATAAAAAGGTTGTGTTTGATGTGAATCCCCAGTAGCCAAATATCTCAGGGTCAATCGTTCTGAAGGTGATATAGTTTGACGGCTTCGACAAGATTTTTTTGTTATGCTAGGTGCAACCATTGACAGCAAGTGTTCATACCTTTCAGGAACCATTCTGTAAAATCTATAAAAAAGTTCTCATCAAGGCATAGCTCAGGAATAAGTGTGTTAAATGCTCCTTTTTCGCAACGATTACTTTTCTTTTTACTTTGCAATGTTCTAAGTGCCAGTAATATATTGCAAAGTGCAAGCTGGCATTTTAGAAGATTAAACCTTTTATTATTTTCTATTTCTAAAAATTAATTTATTCATATAATTATATATATATATATATATATATATATATATATATATATATATATTTAATATTATTTCAGCTATTACTAAATTGAGATACAAATCAAGTTAAGAGAAATATTGTCCGAAAGAATTAAAGCTGAAAAAAAAAAACTTTTTTTTTTGCTAGAAAAAAGTGTTGGGATTCCTGTTTTTTTACAATAATAAGTTGAATCTAAGTTTTATGCAGTAGACATTTTTAACTTGATACTTTAAAATAATTTTTTGTAATAACTACAATCCTACAAATAAAATAATACAACAATATTTATAAAAATAAAATAATGTCAGTCTTTTTTTTATATCAGTAATTGTAACAATTTTTTTATTTACTTTTTACATAGGCATAAACTAATAAAAGTAAATATGAGAAATATTTTTTATTTTACAAAAATTTTTTTAGTTTAATAATTAAAAAAACTTTATTTAAGAACGCAATTACAATTAACAACGAATTTACAACCAGTGTTGTGGCTTGTGAATCAGAGGCTTTTTGCAAAAGTTGTTGCGCGACAGTTGTCGCACGACTGTCGTGCGACTATATGGAAACCAACCTTTAGTTTTTTAACGTCTTATAAATTGACACAACATCTTTATTTATTTTGTATGGTACTTAAAACATATATGGTGTTATTTTACTTTATAATGCTGACGCAATATGTAGATGCAATATTTATCTATATCTGATGCAATTTGTAGATGCAATATAATACAGATTTATTTGCCATTGTATGTGTAACCTTGTAAAGTTTATCTTAAATGACGAAATAAATAAATAAATACTCAAAGCCATAAACCATACGTGTTGAACTGCACCGGACTTATAAATGTTGATTGGTTTAACTTTTAGATCCAAGAACAAAACGGCAAACTAGGCTAGTTCATGATAACCAGCTCTTTTCTTTTGATGCTTTTGATTTTAATACAAAAACTATTCAACTTAAAAACACCTGTCTGTTTTGTTCTTAAAAGGTTTCGACAACTGATTCTTTACTTTCATTTTTTTTCAACCAAGATTCACGGTTAGATCACTTCTCAAAGTGGGTGGTGACACAGATTGCAATATCAACATCGAGCCATTTCCTTTAGACGCTTTAAAAATGTATTTTCAGGAGTCTTGAACTGTTCAATAACCATTCAAAAAGTTTTAAGAACTATTTTTAACACTTGATGTCTGCAAGCAAGCATCAATGTGTTCCTCAATGTGCTTTCTTAGCTTAATTTAACTACAAGCTTGAAATTATCATTACATGCACAACTTGTTATCCAAAATATCTGTATATTGCGCTACAAATCATACCAGTGTTGTTTGTGCTACAAATCATTCAAGTGTTGTTTACAGTAGTATCAAAGCAAACGATTTTTACGCAACACCAATTAAGCGTATTTAGTCTCTGAGTCAGATTCTGAGTTTAATTTGGAAAAAAAAAACCGAACATATTTTCAACAGCTTTAAATGTTCAAAAATTAGGCTCAACTATTTTATTGGCAGTTGGTGAAAATGCTTTCAGATTGTTTTCTTTCTCCGTAACTCAATTTTTAGTCTTTATCAATGTGCCATTTGTCAATGTGCCCAGAAGTCTTTTTTTTTTATCTAATCCGATCTTTAAGAAAAAGTAAATCCTCAAATTTTTCCTTGTTCGTTTTTGATTGCTTTGATCAGATTTGTTTTGTATCACTTATCCATAAATAACCCTAAAAAATGGTTAATTTTTACAATAACAAATTTTTAAATTGATAAAAGATTTCACATAAAATGCATTTAACAACCTCTAACTGAAAGTCATTGACTGAAACTCATTGAGTTACTGACTCTTCTTACGATTCAATTATCTTTCAATTTACTTAAATTTTTTTTTGCAGAGTGACAGGTCTGATTATTGGAAAGCCTGATCTTAACCTTAGAAAACATAATATACCAAGAATGCATTTCTTGTTGCATGGTGAAAGTGCAGAGGTACACTGCACATTGTAAAAAAAAAAAAAAAATTAATTAAATTAGCTAGAAAATTTTTTAATTTTGAAATTTTACTTCATTTTTAAGCTATTTGATAAATTAAAGTTCTACTTGTCTGATGGAGAGTAGAAGTATTTCAGACCATGACACATAACTATTGCCTGCTGCACCAGAAAAGGGGATTTTCTTTATTATTGTTTTCTTAGTATACTAAGACAATAATAATTACGTATACTTAGTATACTAAGACAATAATAATACAATTACGTAATTGTTTCGCAAAAAGTTGTTCTTCAAATAAAGATAGTGTAATTTGCATAGACCTTTGAAAATGTAATGGTTACAACTCGGCGATAAAAATCCAAAGGAGAATGACGAAATGAAGTCAGATGAACTATATGAGTCCGAAAAAAGATAGTTATAAGGAATAGATTATTAATTTTCTTCAATGGCAAAACTTTGACCTCAATTATCTAGTTGCTGGAAGTGTAAAAATTTGGAAACATTTAAATCAATTTGTTTAGCTCTTCAAACTTATTAAAACTTACTAAATGTGTATAAGTAATGTCTTTTTTTAAAAGCTTTTTTAGTAACAGGCGCCGGCCTAATACTTTAGGAAGTAATATCTATCTTTAATTGTCTGTAAATATATTGATTTTATTTGGTTGCTATAGCAACCAAATAAAATCAATATTTTTTAAAACATAATTAACTAATATTAAATTTATTTTAGATAATATGCCTTATAAGACATATTATCTACAATAAATTTAACATTAGTTAATTATGTTTTAAATCCAAATTAATTGATGTTCAACCTTATTGATTAAGGTTTTCTATTACATAAAAATTCTACTGAAACATAACATAACAATTGTACTGATACCTCTTTGAGTTAGAAACAATTATGTATTTTTTTATTATTTTTGAAAACAAAAGAGCTAAATTAGATTTGAAGAAAAAATTTCAAAAATTAATTAAAATGTTTATTTGTTAACAATTAATATATTTTTGAAATAGTTATAACACTTCACGGATGTTTACAAATAATACTTTTACTCCTTTTCAGAAAAACCTTGTTGGAGTTAATAACAATAACATTAATAGTAGTAAATATATTTATTATAATAGTAATCTATAATCTCCGTAATCAATAACCTTCGTAAAAGAATTAACAATAAGAGTGAAAGTAGTAATAAAAATAATAATAACAACAATAACACAATTAATAATAAAATTGATTACAATTATCATGAAAAAAATAACTGTATTATATTTATATATCAAATATTTATTAGAAATCCACATATATAAGTACGTATATATACGCACACATCCATACACATCAACACATGCACATATATAAGTATTCACAAATGTAAGAATATGTGCATTTATATGCGCATATACGTAGTGTTTGAAATAAACATTTTGTGTAATATAAAAAACTGTTCCATAAATATATATAAATATGTATATATATATATATATATATATATATATATATATATATATATATACATATATATATATATATATATATATATATATATATATATATATATATATATATATATATATATATATATATATATATATATATATATATATATATATATATATGTCATACTCACCTAACGTCAAATAGCATGCTGCCGGGGGCTTCAGTACATACATCGACTGACAAATAGCCTGACTCGCAGTGGAGTGCTGCTACATCGACTGAGGGTTTGGTATGGGTCAGTAACCTTTTCATTTATTATTCTTCGTTTTCCCTCATCGTTTTCTAAAAACGCTCACTTAATTTAGGCTAGCAAAAAAAGTGAGCAACTGCGCATATAAATATACTATAGTAGATATGTATATATATATATATATATATATATATATATATATATATATATATATATGTTTAAACAATTTTAAAAATGTATTTTACAAAATAGAGTGCTCAATGTTCTTAAAAGAACAGAGCAATAATAAATTAGTAGAAAATCACTTGACAAAAATTTTTTTCATTTTACACTGTGTTTAATCAATAAAGACTTATCAGAAATCTTTTTCTGATGAGCCTTTATTGATGAAACAGTGTAAAATAAAAAAAAAATTTGTTAAGTGATTTTCTACTAATTTATATAAATATATACATAAATATATATATATATGTGTGTGTGTGTGTGTGTGTGTGTGTGGGTGTGTGTGTGGGTGGGTGGGTGTGTGTTTGTGTATATATATATATATATATATATATATATATATATATATATATATATATATATAAACAGACAGGGACTCAAAGAAGATATAGATGACCAGAGTCACCACAATCTTTTCATAGAGCCCCATTGTGATCATTAACAAGTGCAAAAGAAAATAAAGTTATCATAATAAAATAAAAAAAATAAAACCTGTTACAATCTTTAAAAAAATAACTAAACTCCGTAAAAAAAAAAAAAAAAAAAAAGACAATAAGAGGAATAAAATCCTTTGAATATATCAAAAAATTAGGTTAAAAAACGGTAGTTTATATTAAAAAACGGTAGTGTATATCTTTATTAAAAATCTTTCTTAAAAAAATAATTTTGATAAAATTCCGCTCAAGAAAATCTTTTTATCTTTTAATTTAAAATCTTTCATAAACTATTAAAATCCGTGGCAATCTTCAATCTTTTGTGAAAACTGAGGAGTAAAAAAAAAACTGAGGAGTTATTTCAACAGTAAAATTTTTCAATTAATCACAAGTCAAACAAATCTGTTTGGTACCTTCTCTACTCTCTAGGCAAAACTGCTCTTTGCCCAATTTTAAATAAAGTCTTCTTGGTTGCATCATTTTTTTTAATTTTGCTAATCAAGAACAAAGTTGTATTTCTCTTTGCTTTTTTTGTACTAAATAAAACACTCTTGACGTTGTACAAAAGCTTTTATATTTGTATTTCAATTTTGTTTAGTGATCTTGTAGATTCTTGAACGTCCTAAATTCAGAAGATCATTTAACCAAATCAGAGAAATATGGTTTTCTAAACAACGTCGTTCTGGTTTTACTTTATCATGAAAATGATGTCTGCAGGAAAAGGAATGTAATTAATTTGGCTTTTGAGAGTAATGGCATAGATTCATTAAGTGTTTCTAGTTATACCCCTATATGCATTTTTACATGATAGCTTTGTTTAGCTGAAAATGTGGCGTTATCAAAATAGTAATATTTACTGATTTTTACATGATAGCTTTGTTTGGATGAAAATGTGACGTTATCAAAATATTTACTGATTTTATTAAAATAATTTGTAATACAATTAGTTATACTGACTCATTAAAACTTCCAAACATCTAAAAAAAACATCTAAAGTTTAAAGAAATAATCAATATAGACACATTTGTTTCGAGAAAATATAACAGCAACTAAAGCATTTACCAATTGGTTTTTGCATTTTCCCATCCAAATGTGAAGAATTGTATGTGAAGAATGTTTTCCATCGTTAATAACTGCATGTTTAAATGTTTTAAGTTTCAATCTGATGTGCAATGTTTTGTCTCGATTTAGTTTCTTCCGAGTGCATTCAACAGTTGATCTGTTAAAAAATATTTCTTTCTTTAAATATCCTGCCTTCACAATAAAATTCAGAAAAGTCAGAGAGCTTCGTCACTTCATTTTTCATCGCTGACTATTTTTTATAGAAATGGAAAAAACTTTGTTGCGATGATTTTGCCATAGCTTCTAAAAAAATTATACTTTATGGTTTGCCAAATAAGCAACTTTACTGTTTTTTTTCCTAAAGTTCATAACTTTCCATTTGTTTCTACAAGGTTTCAAAGGGTGAATGTTGTTGAAAGTGTCAGAGCACTTTGGAAGATTGTTCAGGAAAAAATTCTGCAAGGTTCTAGAACATTTTGAAAATATATTTTCAGAATATTTTTGAAAGTCACAGCTATTATAAAATTTCTTTAGAAAGTATCATTTTTAAAAAAATTTTCTCTAGCTATAATCTAGGTTTTTTCAAAATTTTTTTTTCTTATATGTTTTGCTGTTCATACAATAATATAAAAATATGTATGTTTTCGTTTTTTTTTATTCCATAAAAAAAAGAAAATATACATATTTACATAAACAGACAGGGGCTCAAAGAAGATATGTATGAGCAGAGCCACCACAATCTTTTCATAGAGCCCCTATGTGAGCTTTAACGATTGCAAAGAAAATAAAGTTATTATAATAAAATAAAAAATAAAAATGAAAAAAATTATAATAAAAACTCCGTTAAAATCTTTAAAAAAATAACAAAATTCCGAAAAAAAAATTAAAAATAAAGAAAAAAAGACAATAAGAGGAATAAATTCCTTTGAATATATGAAAAAGTTCGGTTAAAAAACGATTGTGTATATTTAAAAAAAATATTAGTGTATTTGTTAAGTTTTAAAGCTGTGATTTGATTTCAAAATTTATTTTTTAATATAAAACTTAAATGAATTCATTGTTTTCACCATATTGATGTGGTTACTTTCCTCTCGTTTGATTTCAGAGAATAGTTACTGTTTTGATTTATCTTAAATTTTGTTTTAAAGTTTTTCGGTGTTATTATGTATTATCATTTTTTAAATAATAATACATAAAGATCATGTGTTGAAATGTATTTATCTCGTATACATTCATCATCTTCATTTCCCTCATTATTGGCTTTGCATACTCAAGTTTGTTTTTTTCCGTATATAATTCTGCAAGCATATTTTTGTACACTAAATATTGTTTTTAGTTTAGAGGGTTGTGTGCTTGCACACGCAATGTTACCATATTTAATATAGCTATGAATAAGGCTAAAGTATATTATTTTCTTGAAATTCCTTAAGGCCTTAACAACTACATGATTACCTTAACAACTGAAATTTCAATAATTAAGCAATTTTTCATCAAAATAGAAATTTTAACATCAGGTTTTAGATTTTAATAACAAAAAAATGCAATTGTATTTATATCTTTATTAAATGTGTAAATTACTTTTTTTATTTCAATGAATAAAAAAGTTGTGTTTATAATATAATAGTATTTACAGAAATTTACCAAACATCTAAATATTTACAATGAAAACATTTAAATATTTACAATGAAAGTTAACGGATATAATTGTTGAGGTATAAAGGAATTTATTTATTATAAATTTTATCTACATTCAAAGTTAATCTTTTGCGATATTTATAATGTTTTTTTCAAATTCATGAATAATTATTTGGTTACATAATTATTCATTATGACTTTTTTTTGTGTTAATTTATCTTGGTACGACTTCTCCGTCATTTATCTTTTTCATTTTTTATGACGTTTTCTACCGTCATTTTTGTAATAATATTGATACCGTAACTTTGAACCGTAATCAAGTTAATGGAAATTCCTTCTTTTTAACAAAATAAACATTGTTATAGATGTACGAATAATTGCTTGAGTCTATTTTACTCTTAAAAAATTTTTGAGAGTTTTTTTTCCATTGACGAATCAATCGTTTCCATGGCGTTGTGCTTTCAATAATAACTGAATTATTATCAATAAGTAACTGCTTCTTTTCAGCTTTGTTTTCCACACCAAATACAAGGTATTTTTTCTTGATTTGAAAAGAAGGGCAAGAGCACAAAGAATTCGAATATATTTTCACCGTTTTACGACGAACTAGTATTTTTTTACCTAAAATTTTAAAAGTATTTAAGTGAATATTTACGTAAATAACTTAGTAATATTTTATATAGACCTGATAATTTAGTTACATAGTCCTGAAATTATTCTCATCATTAAAAAAATTTCGTCAAAAAGTTACCTTTTTTAAAAATTCTGTTCAACTTAAATTTTAGTTTTAACTTTTGATGCTTTTGTGTCATCGAGAGAAGAGTTGCTTCAATTACTAAAAATATAAAGTGTTATCAATTTTAACTAAAAATTTAAATATAGTAGCAGGCTGAAAGAGCAATACATGGCAGTAAATTTTAAATGCTGGCAGCCATTATTTTAATTTTTTGTAAAGCTTTTTTATTTTTGAAAACATTTTTAGATATTTAAAATAAAAAAATATTAAAGTTAAGTATGTTTAAAAATATAAAAATTTTAAAAATAGCAACTTATAACAACATCATTATATATAATCTTATGAAAAAGTAAGTCAAAAGCTTCAAAATACTATTTAAAAAAAATTTAGGTAGACCACTAGTTCAGTATATCAGTAAATCAAACAAGCGGGTGCCAATTAAAAACAATCTAAACAAAGAATACCGTAATCAGAGCTGTCGTAATGAGACTGTTCAAGCGTTTTTGGTTTTAGACATGATGAACATTCGGAATCGACGTTTGTCTTTTTGGCGTCTAAAAATTTAAAACAATAAAATCTAAATTAATAAGAATATGAGAGTAAATCTTAAAAAATATTTATAAAGATTTTATTTGAATTATAAAGCAATAAAAAGTCTCAGTATTTAAGTGTCACATCATGGCCAAAGTACTAATGTTTTTACATTCCATGGTAATGTTAAAGAAATAATATATATTATTTGAATAGTTTTTCATCTTTTTGTGGGTACAAAATTGCTGCGTACAAAATGTCGTCAGTCATAATATTGTCATGTTATTGTGTATTTTGTAATGATGTCATCGTAGTAAATTAATAAGTTGTTACCAAGTCAGTGAATTTGAAAAGGAAACTGATAAAATCAAAAATTAAATGAGCCAATATTAAATAAAACTAAATGTGCCGATATTAAATTTGATAAAACTTGTTTACTCGAGTAATAGGTAAAATATATTTTTATTTCCGAACAACAGAAATATTAATCAGTTTTCGGATCTTATCAAAAGAACACAGAAGTGTAAATTTCCGCCAATAAAATTTAATAGGATTACTTCTTAGTAGCATATTATAACTTTCTATTAAAAAAAAATTATGCAAGTAACTTTTACAAGTATACTGGTAATCCCACTTTTTTTATAAAAAATAAAACGAAATAAATTTAATATAAAATAATAATATATTGTATATTATTGTTATAATCAAAAAAAATTTTGCATATCCTTTTTTAAAAATGAAATTACTTTAAAAAATTACAGTTAAAAAAAGGAATGCTACCTTTTTTATATCCCACAATCGAATCAGGTTTAATGCATACGTCACTGTCGTACTCAGGTAGTTTATCACAGTCAAATTCGGTAGGCCACTCTACAAGAGATTCTTCAAACGCAGAACTGCACTCACTTTTAACTTTGTTGCAAACGGACTTGCAAGGCTTAACTACATGGTTGTAATTTTCAAAACATATCGGATTAAAAGTCATGCAAAAAAGAAACAACATGTCTTCTGAGCATTTTGCAACTGGAAGGTCCTCTAATTTTAAATCAGTGTACCAAGTTTTTTTAGTAGAAAACGTCTGGTTGTAGCCTAGTTTTTCACAAACATTTATTGTTAGCGGTTCGCAACGTTGCTGTTTCTTATGAAGTATTTCCATTAAAAACTGGTTGAGCTGCTCCTCTTCGTATATTGATTTTCCATTATCACTATTTGTTAAGCCATCACCTTCAGTTCTTTTACTATCAACACCAGGCGTTCCAACATCATTGTTATCGTATTCGTTTTTGCAGAAGTATTGACAACTGGAACAAAGCAGTACAAAACAGTAAATAAAGATTTCCATAATCTTTAGAAATTTAGCAGATGGTAGCAGCAGATGATAGCAGCAGATGATATCAAACCTTTTATCTAATTTTATAAGTTTTTGTTACAGTAATTATTTTGCAGCGAGTCATCAATTGTTCAACTTCCTTGGATTTTAAATCGATGCTACAATAATACATAGCTTTATACAAATCCAGTAAATTGTTTTTCATAATCTTGTTTGTCGGCGTTATTTACAATTTAAAAAATGCTTATCACTAAAATTAGCAATTAATTAGAAGCGAAAAAAAATAAATTTTTTCAAAGTTATCGATGAGAAAGTTTGAATTAGCATTAAAACTACGTTAATATAAACAATGACGTCAATTAAAGACATGAATTTATTTTGGCAAGATTTTTGTAACGGCTCGTGCTATACCTTGTTCCATAATTTCTTTCATTAAAAACTCATTGATTTTAAAAAATGTTTTGCTATTTTTGGTATTTTCATACCAAACAAATGCATTTCTCAGATTAACTATAAAACCTCGTTTTTAATCAGAAAATGACCAATTATCTCTTATTTTTTGATGTTTTTTTTTTTTTTAATAATATTTTAAACAATTGCTGCTACAAAGAAATAAATTACGAAGATTTGTATAAATAATAATATTTAAATTGTTTATAAAAAAACTTTTGAGGGATGAAATAAAAATTCTCTACAACGTATTTTATGAAGATTAAAAGGTGTTGCACAAAATATTTACGGTTAATAGGGGCTTACGTAATGAATGCGCCAATTAGAATTTTGGGTATATTATCGTAATTCGTATATATCGTAATTTTAGGTATATTATCGTAATATTATCGTAAAAATGCGTATTGGCTTCAGTCATCCTTTATTTTAAACGAGGTTTTAATACGTACTATGAAATAACAGAAATAACAGAAATAATAAGAAAACCATTAACATTGATATTGTTGTGCATAAGTAAACCTTTACAACTAGCATTATCTAAGATAAATTTAAGATTGACCGACCTTATCATATGAGAATAAAGTATAAAAATATCCCAACAACCTATCTGAAAAAACGTAAAAAAACGCATCCCAAAATCGATGCTTCTAGAAAAATATTACAAAATTTAAATTTATGTCTAATGGTAAATTAACTTTTCCTGTAGTCTAATAAAGAAAAGAAATTAGAAAATTGGCGCTACATCACTACACCACAACAAACAAATCATTTTTTTGTACAAAAACGGAACAGTAGTAATTAATAAACAAATTTACTCTTCACCCGGCCCAGTGGGCACTGAACCAAAAAAAGACGTCTTTTGAACGTTCAAAAGACGTTCAAAAGACGTCTTTTTTATGTTCCGTGCCCACTGGGGGGCATGTAAAAAGTAATATTAGTAGTAGTCATAGGCTGTGACTGATTTTTAAAAACAAGCGACTGGTATTGAACCCACTGAGACAGCATTGTCAATTTTATCAAGTTCCAATAACCCTCGATTGAATAATATACAAACTCACTTCAAGCACTTAAAAAATAAAAGAATTATTAATCGAGTAAATCATTCAAAAACAACTTCTTTCGCTATCTTGATTTTATATTTATTCTAAATTTTATGAAAATTTCATTTAATAACTTAAATATAAACAGAAAACTGAAAAATAAATTAAAAAATAAAATTAAACCGAAAACTGATTCTATGCTTTGTTGGTAGAAAGGTTTTTTAGATTCTTTTTCCCGCAACCAAACTTTTTTCACGAGTGTGAAGCAAGTTTTGTTGCGGGAGAATATTTTAATAGAAAATTATTTAAGTTAACTTACCTTTTACATTAGAAGATTGCAAATACATTAGAAGACTGCTAGTACATAAGAACCATAGTAATTAAATTCCATATCAGGAATATTGTGAATGGGAGAATGAACAATAAAAAAGTGAGAAAAGGTTTTAGATCATTATTGAGTAAAAAATAATTAAGATTCAGCAACAACAGATTTTCAAAAAACCAGAAATATATTAACAGAGCATGAAGTAATGTACATTCAGCAAGGATCAACTTTAAAGGATTCATTCCCCCTCCTGCCTCCAACAAATAGGAAATATAGGGTATAAAATATATCAATTTTTTTATTAACTTAATTATGATTTTACCTCTTATTTTGAATGTGATTCTTGAAATGTAATCTGAATTCTAGATTTTTTTTTCTTTAACTATCAACGATTTGTTATTTATTTTATTTTATATTTTTCACTAAATTGTAAATTTATGTTTTTAGTAAATAGAATTTAAGTTTTTGTAAGTTTCTCTTTTATTTGTATTTTTTTCTTCTTTACTAAATTTTTCTGCCTACATGTTATTTTTGAAATTTTTTTTTTAACTAATAATTATTAATTAACTTTTATTTTTTCAATTAATAGATTGGAAAAAAAGAAATTACTTCTATGTTATATAAACGAACAATAACAAAAAAAGGTTATCGTTATTTTTCATGTTGGTTTTTTTAAACTTCTGGCCTATATAAAAGATTGGAGAACACTTTCGTGCCTACCTTGGTAATTTTGAAGCCGCAATTTTTTTTTGAAGCTCTTTTAATCACAATTTACATTTGTTGCCCAATGAGAAACTTAATTTCTTGATGATCAATAAAAAATCTTTTTTTATTAATCCAAAAAGTTATTTATTAATACAATAAAATCTTTTTTGGTAAATTAAATGGCAACCAATTGCAAATCAAATCGCAACTAATTGCAAATCAAACGGCAACCAATTGCAAATCGAATGGCAACCAATTGCAAATCAGATTTCTTATGGAAAATATAATGCATTTGTTTTAAAATTTGTTATTGTGCTTAAAGGAAAAATTTCAAATAAAATGAAAATTTTATAATATTAAAAGATTGAATAAGTTTTTCGTTAGGTGAAAAAATTATACATTTTAAATCTAATTAAGGTGATAAAAAAATGCTGTTATTGGAAATTTTTAAAATTTAGTGCTATCTTTTTTTTTTAACATAGCATTTAATTAGGAAGTTTTCTGCTGCCCTCCTCTCCAATCTCGTTTTTATGTCAGAGTTGGCTGTTGGCTCCCCATTCATTTAACCCGAAGTCAAAACTGTAACCACGGCGCTACGGTAGCTAAAGTTAAAGTTGTAGCAAGTTGTTGTCTTAATATCAAATATAAAGAAATAAAAATTAGGTAAAAAATTTTTTTAAATTCTAATAAAAAAAAAAAGTAAGAAGGAATAATGCTTCTTGAATTAATTTTAATAAATTAAAATTGTCTGCGATTAAAATGTCAGCGGTTATGTAATGGTTACTTAAATGATAAATCTTAATTTTTTAATTGAATATTTTATTCACGCTTCATCTGCTTCATCTTTTAATCTGTTTTAATTAAATTCAACATTTTGATTGGTTAAATAACATTAGTTATGTCAATCTATTGATAGATACATAAATAAACAAAAACTCATTCTAAAATGCTTTTATATCGTGCCAAACTCCAAATGATTTGTTTGCCAAACCAATTATACGAATGATTCATATTATACGAGGAATTTTAATCTTAAGTGGAAATATAAAACAAGACTCGAATCAAATCCGCACCCTTTCAAAATAATTGCTTAAATTTAATTTAAATTGAAAATCTTTTTTTGTGTGACAGCTTGAAAATAAATGAGAAGATAAATAGGTAAGGGTAGCAAACGCAAAGTTTGTTTGCAAACATCTTCCATTTTTATGATTCCACATCAAGTTTAATTTTGGGCAAATAATAATTTCAATAAAAAATTCTATACTGTGACTTTTTTTTTAAATTAAAAAATAAAAAATGTTTAAATCAATATAAAAAAAACTAAACAAATAACAAACAAATAAAAAACTAAACAAATAACTAGAGATTTTTAAAATTTTTTCAAGTTGCTTTTTAAGCTAACTGCATTTTTCTTAGCACTGTTAAGTTGCTTTTTAAGTTAAATTTTGTCTTTGAGCTTTTAAATTTTTTTTACCTTATAGCTTTATATAGATTTATTTGGTTTTTATAATAAGTTAAAAAAAATGTTCCATAAATATAATTTAAAAAATAAATAAATAAATTGAAGAAAACAACCAAATATCATTATTTAATTATATAATTAGACTATAATGTGATAAGACATCTCGAATTTTTCCGCGGTTATGTAAACTTTTTATTTAGGTATTAAATAATAAATTATATAAAATAAAAAAATATGAAACTATGTGTTAGTATATCAAAAATTATTATTATTATTATTATTATTATTATTATTATTCATTATGAATGGCTTGAGTTTCAACAAAGGAAAGAGCGGCGTTAATTTTATGCCTTTTTGAAATTATTATATAGTAGAAAATTTGGTTAATATGTCAATTAAAGCTTTGTATACAATAAAAAATATTTTGTAAGCTCTTTTTTTGGCAGATTGGTAACCAACGAGGTAACGATTGTAAATGTTTTTCTGAATTGAAATAGAAAAAAGAACGACATGAATATCAACATTTAGCAATGCTTCCAAGAAATAATGTTTGTGACGAAAGGTTTGGAAGGACATAAAGGGGTTTGAAAAAAAAAAAGGGGATTTGAAGAAAAGAACAAATATAGTAGTAGCATGAAACTGTGTTGTTTAGATGTTCATAGAGTGTGTTCTAACGTCAAGGATTTTTACAATGATAATCTAGTTAGTGTGCTTGTGAAGTAAATGTATTTTTTGTACCTTTTTTAAATTTACCAGTTTTTTTCTTAGATCCAAATTAAAAAGCTACTGCTTCTTTTTGGTTTGGAAAAAGTTCATTTTCTATATACCATTTTATGACTGCATTAGCAGATTCAATAATTTTTTTGATAAAACTTCTGACCGGGCTATAAACAGATTACTATTGGTTATTACATAATTATAAACAGATTATTATTGGTTATTACATAATTATAAACTTCTTTTATGTTACTTGTAATAAACATTATTGTCTTTTTTATAATGGCAGAAACTATCATGGAATATAGAAATGAGTCTAATACGCTTATATGTTGTCTGTTGATCTTGCTCTCAGTCATAATTATGTTGTTCCATATGAAATGTTGGGTCATGATTAGAATCCAATAGAAATATAGAGTTTTGAGAGTGCAAGTATGATGCTAGCCAATAAGTGCAACGTCTGCAATGTCAAATTTATTCTTATACGGTCAATAAGCAGGATGAGATCAA